TACCAATTTCATAAGAAAATAACATCTCAGCATTAAATGACCCATAAGGAGTTGATGTGTCATTAAACAAACCAAACCAAAAACAAGTGACTAAAAGATTGCAGATTTTGATGTCATTCTGTTTTTTTTTTGTTTTTTTTCAGCCAAATCTGTGAATTTCTTTTGCTCATGCTAAAAACACTAGTATATAAAATTCATCATTTTTTTATTCATAATGTTGAATTTGTTAAAATTATTCAACTTTTAACAAGAAAAATCCAAAGTTGGTGTTAAAAATTTCTATAAAACATTGTTGATTTATTTACGATGGAATAATCTATTACAACATGTCTCTAATTTGTATTTAGATACATTGTACTTATTTTCAATTTTTCTAGCTGAATTGTTCACCTAGATTGCATATGATCCATTATTGTGCATAATTAGGCTAGAATAAAATTTGTATTTTCTATGAATACAACCTCATGAAAACTGAGGTGTAGTAGAGTAAGGAGGGGGACCCTGTATCATAGATACAGGGGAGATACAAGACCCTTGCACCAGCCTTGTATGTATATCTGTGTTTTGTATAACTTGCGTATACTTGTTATTTAATGCACACCCAAGCCCATGAATACATATATAAGCACATGTTTTGAGTAAAGTACATTTTCATCCCACACTGTCTTGATAAAACTTACCCTGGTCTGAGCAATAAAAATAATAAATTTGGTGACAAGAAAAGAAACTTAATTTTTTAATCTCTAAAAGAAGATAATTATAAGATTTTATTGAACTTTTTAAAAATTATTTGGTAATAAATAGAATCACCTTTTAAAGATTTTTTTTTAAAAAAATTTTGTAGAAGTATTTTTAAGTCTGCCATTGAATTAAATTATGCATGCGCACAAAAACATACATGTACACAATCTGAAAGAAATTGAATTCGATATCTGTGACACAAGGACAAATTTCCCTTTTGGTCTGGCAATAACCCCTGGATAACCTGAAGAGAGTACAATCGAAAACGTGTGGCCTTTTGAAGTTACTTTTATGACTCTTTGTGTTTAAACTGAATATATTTTCTAATAAATATACAAACAATTCAGATTTGAAATTTGGTTAAAACTTGGGTCTCTTTCCGAACAGGAACTCTACATTCTCGTGAATGTAAGAGATTGTTTTCTCTTTTGGGTGGGTGTTTATATATCTGTCACATGGTTCTTTCCCACAAGTGCATCCCAGGTACAGCTCCGTTGACCATGTGTTCATATGCCGGGGCATCTACTGACATCAGTGAAATATTCTGTACATGAATAGTAATAGGGCTAATTGCTCTTTTTTGTCTGGTAACAACCCCTGGGTAACCTGAAGAGAGTATAAGGTAAAATACATGGCCCTTTGAAGTTATTTTTATGACTCCTGTGTTTAAACTGAATATATTTTCTAATAAATGTAATATTTTAAATAAACAATTTAGATTTGAAATTTGATCATCTTACAGTCAGCGAATTGACAGGTACTGAACTAGTAGCATTTATTTGCAAGAGCAACTTATTTTCTGATGATCTAAACTAAACAGAAGTTTTGTTAAAAACATTAAATTAAATTAAAAATTGTTAAATTAGAAAAATTCAGAAAAGCTTTTTGTTCTCTTTTTGAAATTGTTTCAACAAAACAAGAAAATAAAAAAAAACACTTCATTGTGTAGTTTATTAGTGATTTCTTAAAAAAAACTAAACAAAAAAAAAAAAACACTGCTTGTAAGTCCGTGTTGGTCACTCGTGTGAAACCATCACAAGCCACCAGGTTGAGTACAAAGCAATTGACTGCCCCTTCTTAACCCAACAGGTGTACAAGAGCTTGGGAGGGTGAGGGTGTTGTTGGCACATAATCCTTTACATGTGTGGAGTTGGAGTATCACTTCAAGATTTCTAATCGTTTAAAAATGGTATTCAAATATTAAACATGCACAGTGTAGTTTCTACATTTTTAGGTTTTAAAATCAGCTTTTATAAGAAAAAATATATTTACGTTCAATGTCACTTTGAAGAAATTAACATAGAAGCCAAGACGTAAATTCTTGTTACGCACAGTTTTAAAAACAGTATGGCACATATACCTTTTTTCATTTAGCTTTGAAAGGATTTTTTTTTTACTCTTCTAGAATCAGAGATACAACTATAGTACACTTCGCTTTAGTTGTTAAAAATCTCTTTTCTTTTTCATGAGCCTTTTTTTTTTAAAGCCATTACCCAATTTAGTATTATTCACCTCTTCTTGTAAGGTTCTTTTCGCTATGGGCTTCCTTTTTTTAGCCTAATTTAAAAATAAAATCCACTTCATTTATATTTTTAAAAATGAGTCTGTTTTTAATTTACTTTTTATTTAAAAAATAATGTTTAACAATGAAAACTGAAAGGGGCCTTTAAGTTTAAAATTAAAATTAATATCTTTTCTTTTTCTTGTCTTCTTCTAGAAAACATAATTCTTCAATGTTTATTTGGTTTATCAGTTTTAGTCCCCCTCTTTCTTTTCTGTTTCGTCTGTTTTGCCTATATTTCTTCTGTTTATAAGCCTAAACACCTCTCAATCGCACCCTCAAGTTGAAGCACAGACTTTCTTTCTGATTTTCCGATCGCACTCTCCCTTGTCACTCACATCCTTTTTTCTCTCTCTTTTTAGAGTAATTCTATTTTCTGTTACTCGCATGACTCCCTCCCTCGTTCTTTTTAACCCTTTTTTTTTATTTAACCCTTAATGTAAATGTGAGTTTATCTTTCTCCTCATCCGCATCTCAGCCTCATCTTCAACGTTTAAGCCTCTGCGACTTGGATGTCAATTTCCCATCTCGCCTCACACTTTCGTTTATACCCTCTCTTTTTCCGTTGCATTTTGGCACTTCCTCCCACTCCTTATGTGAGCCTCAGTCTTTCACTCCTACAAAACCTTCCTCGGCAAAGGTATTATTTGGATCACGTGACACCTTTGCCAGGCACAGTGAACATTTGAGATGTCAGCGCCATGCGTGTTGCTGCGGCTTGCTGTGTGTCGTCGTCGTCGTCGTAGTCTGCTCGTCTACTATGACCCAGGCTCTCCCTCACATCGGCAATGTAGTTGTGTTTGATGCATCTGCTGGCGACAACTGGTCGCAGCCACAGCACGATGATGGAGGTCCGACGACCGCAGTTGGAGCAGAAGGCAATAGTCTGCGCCATCACCACCACCACCATCAACATCATCATCATCACCATCAACAACAACAATCTAACAGCCAAGTTCTGTCCACGACTAATTCTACCAGCAAGAGTAGTAGTACCCCTAGTGTCCCTGGAAATACGGATTTTACATCTTCATATTCTTCTACTATTACTAATACCACAAATAATAATAGTAGAGGTGCTAGTGGTAATAATATCTACACTACTACAACAACAAACCTTCTCACGAATGTCGTCCCTATTCCTTTATCGTCTTCATCATCTTTCTTTGCAACTGTTTCCCTCCCTAGTCCTGGCCCTTCTTCTGCCATTGAGTCTTCGACGGCTACAACTGGAAGTGTTTTCACTACCTCTATTAATTATACAGCTACCCTGCCCCAAACAACAACAGCGACCCACCTCCAGGGCGACCCCTTGACCTCCCATACTGGACATCGACTTTTATTATTATTGCAACAACAGCAACAACAACAACAACAACAGCAGACGACGACGACAGCAACAACAACAAGCAACACACCGTTAACTTCATCTGTTTTATTGTCATCTTCACCCTCGACAGTCAGAAAAAACAGGGACAACACCATTGCTTCTTCGACTAATATTAACAATTTATTAAAATCATCTTCAAGTTTGGTGTTGCCATCCTCATTAATATCCCCCGGGAAAAAAAGTGATAATGTTGTTAGCACAACTGTTACGACAACAACAACCACCATCACGACAACAACAGCAACAACAATTAACAATAACAACAGTAATAATAATAATAATTTGCTGAAATCCTCGCCTGGCTTGGGTCTGTCTTCTTCATCGTCCTCCTCATCATCGCCGTCTTCTTCATTCTTGTCATTTCAATCGTCATGTTCACTTACTTCATCGTCCCTCCGGACAACTAAATCCCCGTCCACCATAATTACCTGCCCCACGGGAACCCTTCTACCCTCGTCTCCGAGGAGGACTGACTCCAGAAAATTTCGAGGGTTGGCAGGATCGAGGGGCCCCAGCTCCTCGGGTGGCGAAGCGACGACGACAACTACTCACCCCAGCTCTGGGGAGGAGAACTACCCCCGGATTTCTGCCACCCCAGAGGACAGCAAGGAACGCCTTGCATCTATTGAAGAAAATCTAGAGTCATCTATAAGGTTGTAGATATTCATTTTTTTTTTACTTTTTATTTAGTAGTTTTAATTATTTTTGTTGTTGTTGATTTTATTTTTTTTACCTTTTTAAATTTTACCGTTTGCATTTATTTAAAAATGTTATGTTTTACTTCAACTAAAAACTTGTTTTATTTAATAATTAAAAAACAGAAGTTTTAAAATCAATCAATGGTCTTTAATTCTGTCCACATGTGTTTTTGTTAGTTTTAAAATCCATCAAAGATGATAAGAGAGTTGAAGTTGATCATGATGATGATGATCATCATCTTCCCTATTTCTTTTTATGTCTCAAGTTTCAAAATTCCATCCCAAATAAAAATCCGTTTCATAGTTTTTATTAAACTTCTATCTCAGTTCATTGATCTGTCGGTTCATGATTCCATCCACAAATGCCGCACCCCATAAAAAACATTTCTTTTCCATCAGGATCTATATACATGTATTTCGGGTAGGTGCCCTTTTCCCTCAACAAAAACAGTTGTTGTTGGCTACTAGAAAATAAGGTTGGCCACAAAATGAGGGTCCGCTTCCTCCAAATGACACACCCGCTTTGACATGATAGTTTTATCGAAGTGTCAGCTTGACACTTCTTTTCAAACTATTTTATAAACTTATATATTTGAAAGGACAATTATTTATGGGTTTTAATTTAATTACCTTTGCGCACCTACAATACGAAATATAAAAATATGCCCCGATTTTGTGGCCACATTTAAAAATCAGAAAAAAAATAAAAGAAAGTACATTGATGACAATAACAAAAACACGTCAGTAGAGTGCGACTTGTTAGTTGAAAATTATGCTTTTTTACATAAATTAAGTCGATTTTTTTTACCACATAAATTATTTTATTATTTATTTGTTAATTTTCCTAAATCTGGTTTCGTTTTTATTTTTAATGAGAAAAATGTCCATAAAACAAAAAAACACAGGAATTTTCACAAAAGCAACAAAACCCCCCTTTTTTTAAGCAAATTCATCTTTTCTTTCAAAAAAAAAATCTTTACTTAATTAATAGTTTTAATTTTATTTAAATTGCTTTCTGTTTTTAAATATTCAACTACTTATCACCTGACAACTGACATCTTTTATTAAGAAAAATCTACACTATTATTACGTAAAAATAAAATGAAAATTTATCATTTGCATTGAATTTAAAAATTAAAAAATATGCAAATAATTTTACTTAAATATTCCTTTGTTTTTTGTAGAAAATAAACAAAAAAATGCTTTATCCAATTTTGTTATTTGTAGACATCATTACAAATTCTGATCACTCAGTGGAAGATTTTTATTATTTTTTATTTATCAAAAAAATTATTTTATATTTTAAGAATATTGAAACGAATAATTAAAAAAGAAAAACCCTTTATTTTTTTGTTTTGTTTTGTATATTCCTTGTTTGTGTTGTTTATTTTCCCCATTCTTTGTCATTGTTGGTATTTTTGGGTCCCCAATATTCGTGGCCCTAGATTTTTAGGGAGGAAGAAGAAAAGACATCATGGAAGCTTTTCTTTTTCATAATCAGAGAAAAAGGATCAAATGTCCCCCCAAATAAATGATTGTTTGTTTTCTAATTATAAAAAAATATATTATTGTCAGTCTCAGTAAGTCATTTTAATTATCTTGTCGACATTAAACAATATCTTCCAAATAATGAAAGCGAAAGGGTTAATTAAAGTTGTTATTGTTTTGTTTGTGTTGATGAAGGTCCTTCTTGTGAATTTGGTTTTATTTTATTAAAAGAAAAGCTGATATAAAAATGTCCAATTCCTGTATTTTGATGCACATTTTTGTTATTTTCACTGTCTGTCAAATGTTTGTACCTTTTTTCTTTCTCCCTCAACATAAGATTTTCCCCACTAGAATAAATTGTATACATTTGCAAGGATGACGTCAAAATCATTTCCCCCATGTGGTTGTAATCTATTTCTCTACCCTCTCTTTCCCTGTGGGTCCGTCCTCTTTCTCTCCTACTTCCCTCCTTCTGAAACCCCCATGCCACTATTAAATCACACCCAAAACTGGACAGATAACCTCTTGTTTTTTTTGGTCTTAAAGAAATCGTCCTTAAAATAAATAAACCAAAAAAATACAACCCCTTCTTTTATTCCCTCCTCTCTCTTCTTTACTCAATATATTTATTTTTTAGTAGTATTATTTTTCATATAATTATTATGTCATTGTAAAATTATGTTTTTTTTCTCCTATTTTTATTTAATTCATTTCTGTTGGTTAAAAAAATTGTTTATCGATATAAAAGATCAATTTTATAATTTTACTAAAGAGATTATTCAGGATTTACTGATACTGATCATGATTTCAAGGCCACCAAATCCATTTTGAACATAAACAATAATCCGTTATTGGAGGGAATTAAGAATTTATTTGTCTTGCACGTCATTAGATAATTTAAATTTTTAAATAAATCCCGTGTGTCGATAATGTGAATTAATTAAAAAAAAAACCCAAAAAACCCTCAATGAAAGACATTTGAATGATTATTGACATGTATGCATTGTCAATTAGTGTGTATGGTGTGTGCTACTGTGTGTATGTAGAATTGGAAAAAAAAACCGTAGTTCATTTAATCTCGACAAGAAAGGGTAGTCAGCTTGTGTAGAATTGACCATATTGTTGGAAAGAGATGTCTTTTAGATCATCCAAGTACGAAATAAGGGTACCAATTTAATCAAAGGAATTGAAATCGATTCTTATCAACAAATTCTTGTTTCTCTATCAATTCCATGGGTGTATACTGTATATACATATAAACTCAGTAATAATTGAACACTTAATTGTTGTTGCTCCCCCCCCATTTTTAGTTTTTTACAATATACATTTTTTATTTTATTTTTTTGCAAGAACCTTGTCTCTTCTTGTTTAAATAAATAAGTTAAGTATGACAGATAGGGCTTCTTAAACGATAGGGCTTAAATCCCCTTTTTGTAGGTTTTGGCATGAAAGTCTCTTTCAAGAAGGATGTGGCTGGCATTGTGTCTTTTTGGAAAATGAAACAAAGAAGAGAAGGATTGATTTATTGGGAAGAGTGCCATAGCAGCACATGTCATCTGCAGGTGATCAACATTACCCACACCTTGACTTTTAGGGGTAAAAAAAATCTTTCTTTTACTAATGAGGAAAGAGAAAACAATTCAAACCTTTTGCAGCAAATATTTAAAAGTACAATAATGGCATTTAATTTTCTTTTTTGTTTTTTTTTTAATTACCAGGGTTCTTAGGGATATGTGCATGTTTCATTAATGCGTAAATTATCTCTTGAATGTGTGTGTGTGTGTGTGTGTGTGCACACAAAGATGCATTTATGTATCCTGCACTTTTTATATATCATGGTTTTATATATTTGCATTGGTAAATTATATAAAATTGTGTATTTGGGCAGCAATCCTTGTTTTATACAAGTTTCATTAAAAAATAACTGACAAGGTACTGTGGTAAAGTTTTTTTATTTAATTTTTCTTGTATATAATTTTCTTTTCTGATAATGGCTAAAAGTATAGTCAAAAGTGCTCAGACATAGAAAATATTTTGATAATTTCTGCAGTACCTTGTCAGTCATTTTTTTTAATATAAACTTTTATATATATATATATATATATATATATATATAATATAAAGAAAAAAAATAATCTTCCCGATTGGTGTTTGTTAGTATTTTATAGGATAATATATATAAATCTAGGCTCATTTCACAAGTGTTGTATATGAAGCAATCAATTTTTGGTTAAAAGATAAAACACCACCTAGGATTTCATAACAAAGATTTTTTTTTGTAAATATTTTTATTTAAATATTAAATGACAAATTTCACAAATGTTAATATTATTATTATTTTCTATTTAATTTACTTTTTTACTTAACTATTATCTTTACCTCTTGTTTTGTTGTGTGTATATGTTTCTTCCTGGGAATTTTCATAATATAGCACTTGTTTTAGTATGGTATATGAGCATAGAGATCAACACTGTATGGTGACTGTCAGTTTCACACCTTAAGCCTTATATCAGGCCACTTTTTATATATATAAATGCTACATTCTCAATATTAAGAACTGTTCCTCCATAAATATAAGATATTTCAGACAATTGTATAATATTGGGTTGACCCAAATTGGTTTGCTTCATTAAGTAGAAAATTTACTTAATTGCCAAACAAAACTTTTGGGCCAACCCCATATATATATATATATATATATATATATATATATATATATATATATCATATATATCATTCTGTCCACTTATCAGGAGGTATCAGCAATTGTCTGATTTGGTGTTAGGTTTTCTTTGTGTGCGTGCGTGCATGTGCATGCATTTGCGTCTATGCCTGTAGGTGCAAATGTGTAGGATGATGTGGTTATTTTTTCTTTTCATAATTTTCTTGTCTCCTTATACTCTCATTATTCATTTTCTTTCATTTCTCTATCTTTTAGCTCTGATATATATATATATATAATATTATAAATTAATTGATTTAAAATATGGTTTTTTTTCGCTACACAGTTCCAACCATGTTTCAAAAATAGATGCTAAAAACCCCGAATTTAATTTTGCAATTAAATTAAAAGCATTAGTTCCATTTCATCTTCAAGCGAATTTTTACATTGAGCACTATTTTGTAAAAATAAAAATATCTATAAGAACACGGATTTTATATCTTACTGTTCTTTTCTTTTATTTTTATATATATATATATATATATATATATATATATATATATATATATATATATATATATAATTTATTCGAAAATTATAACATAAATATGTTATAAAATCACTACAAAAATAGCCATTATATTTCAACACTTCTGGTGTCTTATCAAGTGACAACACCATCACATGATGAGACACCAGAAGTGTTGAAACAAAATGGCTATTTTTGTAGTGATTTTATGACATATTTATGGTAAAATTTTTGAGTAAATTATATCTACTCTGTATTGAGCACTCTTTTAAGAATTGTATTT